GAAACGTCAGCCTTCCTGCTCCTCTGATGCTGCTTGGCCTGCTGTGTTCATCCAGTACACCTTGTTATCTCAGATTCTCCAGCATCTGCAGTTCCTACTATCTCATATACCCTACCGTATATTGGTGTCATGTATGAATTAGTCACGATGCTTTTGCACCATAATGTAAATCATTGTTTTAAATTTTTAAGAAGTTGTGACTCAGTACAGAACCCTGCGGGTGCCAACTTGTCACATCCTGCCAATTTGAGTACAATGTAGGGCTACTTGTGTGCCAAATAGCACAGCATGATTAAGCAATCACATAAACAACAGATTAGAACTGAGGAAGGGTCACTGGACCTGAAACGTTAATTCTGATTTCACTCCACAGCTGCTGCCAGACCTGATGAGTTTTTCCAGTAATTTCAGTTCTTGTTTCAGATCAGATCTTTGCTTTATTGTCCTGCATGAATGATTGTGGATGATTACAAAACGAACAGGAGGAGGCGATGCCACAAATACTCCTGTCCTCGATGATGGGGGAGTCCAACATATCAGTGCAAAAGACAAGGCTGAAATATTTACAACAATCTTCAGCCAGAGGCACTGAATGGGTGATCCATCGAGGCTTCCTCCAGAGGCCCCCGGTATCACCAAAGGTTCCTGTACAGATGGCGCTTTGGTGCCAAGCAGTGGATTGCTTGATGGATTAGAGACCAGTTACCAATGACAACCATCTTTCGTCTGTCAACGATTATGTAATTGTTTCTGGGCTAGCTAAACAGCTTGGGCCTTTGAACAAAATAAGGAGAAGCCTTCGGATCAGTGCTTGCCCTTAGGAGCACTCTCTCTCTCTCTCTTTCTCTCTCTCTCTCCCCCCACAGTAAAAGTCACTTCAAGCCTGAAGAAAATCAGTTTATCTCTCCTTCAGCGGTTGCTGCAAGCTGTGACTTTTAATTGATGAGTCTGAGACCTTTAATGAGTAAACCACCTATCGTGTGTTTCTTCCAAACCAGTAGAAGCAGCATTCTGACTAGCATAAGAATCATCTCAGTAACCTCGGTGAACAGGAACCACTGATTATAAGGGAATTAGAGCTTCCACTGGAGATTTATGTGCCATTGGTTTATATTAGTTTTAAGTACTGAAACTAGTCAGTGCCCTTTGAATAGGTCCCCAAGTGCACAAGAGTTTGAAGCCCTTCCACCTCTACTACTGGTAGTTCTGTAGCACAGCTTGACTTCACCATGTCCCAGTTCATAAACCTTCATCCATGTCTTTGTTACTTTCACAATTAACTATTCCAATACACTACTGGCCCCTCTCCTATATTCCGACCTCCTCAAACTTGATTTCATCCAAACTCCACTGCATATTTTGTACTAGTTTGAGAGTGGTATATTCTCTGTTCTTCCTTCTCCAGATTTGCACCCTTCTACTACCCTGACCCCTCACTTCCTGTAGGATAAACACCTCCTTCAACATATGATTCAGGAATTTGTCATTCTCCCTGATTGACACCAGCTGCCCCTCAATCCCAGAAATGCTAAACTTGAGTTAAAGCAGTTGAAGACACTCCCTATACATGTGGATCCTTAAGACACACGTTCTGATATTCTGATATGGCACAGGAATTGGAATCAACAGGTCTCAGCCATCCATCCACAAGCTGAACAAATCTGTTCCCTCTTTTTGGATGTATTTATGTTAACCCAGTTAAAAGTTTTAATTAATCTCAAGTCTAAGTGTCTGCTTCTCCCTGCCTGATATGTTAGTATAATTTTGCTCTGAATAAAATAAAACTTGATGTGAGATTACTAGACAAGCTCTGATGAGGACAATCATTTGGACCATGTTTAGAGACCCTAACATCCCTAACATTGTTGGAATTGAATATTTCTACAATAATGTTAGGCTTATGGCCTCCCACTCAATCTGGGGTGAATTTGACACACCAAGATTTTTAACTGCAGTATTGGATGAATGTGAAGCTTTTGCTATTTGTACTGCAGCTCCATTTATTCCATAACTTGTACCTTACACAGTCATACATCTTACGAATGTTGCTGTGCAGAAAACCGCCCCTGACTATGATCCAGAAAAGGTAAGCAGTATTAATCAATAAGTTGGGATATACAATGATCATACAGGGGAGAACGGCACTAGTGGTAATGTACTGATGGTGCAGGGGCTCTGATGGGTGCAGCACTGAAAGGAGGCATAGTGATTTGGGGGAGGGAACTTGGTGAAAGGGACATTGCTGAGGTTTCTTCTTACTCACTATTTGGGTATATGTGGACATTAGGGTAAATGATGATCACTTTGATATACATTGATGCACTATGATGGAACCCGTGTTTCACACCATCACCATCGTGCAGACCACTTCATGGCATTTCACAGGGATGCAGTACAAGACACTCTAATAACTGTGACTCACTAATATTCTGTGACACAGTGTGAAACACTGTCACATACAGTGATGCTGATATACTATGACACACTGTGAGACCTTGCAACGCTGATGTACTGAAACAGCGTGAGATGCTAATACATTGCAACACTGATATACTGTGATGCACTGCAACAATGATATCCTGTGACAGTGTAAGACCCTGTAATGCATTGTGACACTAAATATACTGTTTTCTAGGGCTGCAAGTGGTTGATGCAACAACTACGACAGTACCTGACAGCAAAACATGGCACTGAGGCGGTGGAAGCACTTTTTAGAGATATGGACAATATCTTCATCAAAAGTTTGCAAAGTGTCCAAACAGTAATCATTAATGACAAGCATTGTTTTGAACTCTATGGATATGACATTCTGATCGACAAGAACCTAAAACCGTGAGGACACTGTGTGCTGGAATAACTTGTGTGTGAAATTCAGTGTGGATTTATTCTGTTGTGTCTGAGAGATTCCCTGGATGTGTTTAGACAATCTTCGTATGTCTTGTGTCTGTGTTTGTATTTATTGTATAAGTATGTGTGTGTGCACCCATATGTATTGCATGATGTATGTCAATATTTGGAGTATGATTTGTTTTGAAGGAAGTGTCACTGTCTTTAATGGTAATTGTTTGGGTTTGAATATTTGTGCCTGATGGGTTTCTCCAGCACTTTCTGATTGTATGTATTTCTAAACGTTAGACTAAGAAATGATGAAAGCTGAATGTTTATTTTAGAATCCCTACAGTGTGGAAACAGGCCCTTCCGCCCAACAAGTCCACACTAACCCTTGCAGCATCCCACCCAGACCCAACCCCCTACAACCCATACACCCCTGGGCACTATAGCATGGCCAATCCACCTAGCCTGCACATCTTTGGACTGTGGGAGGAAACCGGAGCACCTGGAGGAAACCCACGCAGACACGGGGAGAATGTGCAAACTCCACATAGACATTTGCCCAAGGCTGGAATCGAGCCCAGGTCCCTGGTGCTGTGAGGCTGCAGTGCTAACCACTGAGCCACCGTGCTGCCCCAATGTGTCAGTGATTTTTAGGTTGGTGAACAATAAGCTGAATGTTGATTATGTGTAAGTTTGCTTGTGTAATTTTTTTTTATCATGATTCATTGTAAATGTAGAATGACTATCCATTCTACAGTATTTGATCTAGCATTAACCTGAATTGACAGTGCCTGCATATGGAGCTCTGTCTGTTCAGCTGGTGGTCAGTGCCTCTCTGTGACACTCTGTCTGTTCCAGCCAGTAATATCTCTGTCCAATGACACTAAACAGAAATGAACTGAGTATTGTTGGGATTGTGCTCTCACACCCTGGATAGCTTTCAATCTTATATTTCCTTCCCTTGCTCTGCTCTGCCAATGGCTCTCTTGTTTTATATACATCCTTCCCATCTCATCCTTAAAACACTTTTAGTGCCTTTCCGTTTCTTTAGGTGGCTTTTAGAAGTGAATGCTTCTCCTTCACTAATAGCTAGTAGCCAGGAAGATTACGAGCTGAAGTGCCGTTTGCTGGAGGACACAGTGCATGTTGTAGACATGGAAGGAAGGTGAGTAAAGGAACATGTTGCATTTGTATTGTATCTCAAGCCCCTGATAACCAGTAGACTTTACATAGTTGTTCTGTAGGTAAGTAAAGCAGCCAATTTGTACATAACAATGTTTCACAAGCAGCCATGAAGTTAATGAAAAGTTAACTGGTGCAATGTGGGCCAGGACATCAGGAGAATCCCTACAAGACTTAAGAAAAGTGCTACTCAGCTCTTTTATGTTTTGCTGAGTTTCCAACAACTCAGCACATTCTAGTTTTTTCCAGCTGAATCAAAGGATAGAGAAGTTAGTGAACTTGCGATGGAATTTATCGTTGATGATCCTTTATTGGCATGCTGTAAAGACTAATTTAAGTGCGCCAGAAATCAAGCTGCCCTATTCCTAGAATCATCACAAAAGTTAAAGATGTTAAAAGTATGTAAATTGGGGAATTCTACCTGTCTTTAGGCCCAGATTGACAGAAAGCACAGAACAGGGTTCTGTACTTAACAATAATTACTATTTGCTACAAATAAATAAAAAATCTACTGGTAAATGATTGGGAACTGTTGGCATCTAACCTCGACTAATCAAAACTCTAAACCCCTTGTTAAACTTTACCTTACGTACATGACAGACACAAATGGTGGCGGGGTGGGGGGAGAAAGAAATGGGAGTTATGGACAAAGAGAGAGACTGAGAAAGCAGTGCAGTGATCCCTATTCACAGGATCTGCTGAGAAGGTTCTTGTGCTGATCAGAACGCTGTTTCTTAGTCTTCTGTCTCCAGATGTTTTCATTAGTTTACAGGAGGCACGGTGATGGGTTCACATTAATGAAAGGTCCCTGAATTATTAATTAAAACTCATAGCTTACTACAACTACTGAAGGAAAAAATAAACTGGTTTTCTTTAGGCTTACAGTGACTTTTACTGCAGAGAACAGAGAGCTCCTAAACTTGTGGGGATCTGATGGCTTGTCGTACCTTGTTCCCAGCCTCAAGCTGTTCAGCTACCTGACAGCCAATCACTTTGTTGTTGGCAGGCAGAGACCTTTGTTAATGATAACTAGTCACTCGTCAAGAGAAAAACTACTGGTTGTTGCCATTTGTAAACATTCTTGGTTCTAGCTCAGCTGCACCTTCTGCTACTGCTCTTAATCAGCAGCTGTGTAAAATCTACCTACAATGAGTGTTAAGTTACTTGCTTAATCGTCCAGCAATCCTTACTTTTATAGTACAGGGGTTTCCTGACTTACGAATGTCTGACTTACAAATGCAGTTTCTGACAGATGTAATTTTAAAGGTCTGACATATTTACAAATGGCTCCTTTATACTATGCATTGTGTTGCAACTTGCTAACATATCACCTTGCGAACAGACTTCAGAATGTAACCTGTTCATAACCTAAGGACTGCCTACAGCTCTTTCTCCATTCAGGCTGCAGTTAAAACATATGTGGTCTTTACAGTTGTACCTACAATGATTCAGTGTTCTATAACAGATTCATACACACCATCAGGTTTAAATTTTGATTGCCGTGCTCTGGAAAGTAGTATTTCTTTCCAGCACAAGGAAATGCAGGCAAATGCTGTGCAATTAAATGAGCTAATATAATGGAAGCAAGACTCTGCAAATGCTGGAGATCTGAAATGAAAACAAAGTGCTGGAGAAACTCAGCAGATCTGGTAGCACCTGTGGGGAGAAGACGTTCCAAAAAAAGAGCCATTAAACTTGAAACCGTAACACATTCTGCTGATGCTGTCAGACCTGCTGATTTCTCCAGAAATCTCTGTTTTCATTTAGAATATTGTAGGACATCCTCTAACAGTTACCACAGTAGTGACATGACTAGATCACTCATACTGTGCTCTGGATATGGCAATGTTGCCTAATGAAGCGGAGATTAAGGATATGCAAATAGCCTTTGTACAATCCAAAAATACCAAATGATTGGTGAGACTCCTGCTACAAATGATCCTTTAGAATTCTAAAGTAGATCTGTCAAGTTATACTCAGGAAGCATCAATATTTCCCAGACTGTTTAAAAATGCAAAACTTGAAATATAAAACTGTTAGATGTAATCTATAGATTGTTCACATTTCTGGAAACGATAATGTGATAAGGTATATTGTCCAGAAAATAAAAATGGTAGGATAAGTTAAGAAATGAAGGGAATGGTGGAGATTGTATAAAATACATATATCTATTCAACCTCATTCATTCCTCATATAAGTCATGATTTGTTGTCTCTGTCATATATCTTTTGATGAAATGCATTTTGCAGGGTGGAGCATGTAAAGACGACTTTCTCTCTGAACTGTGGACTAAAAAATGGTAAAAAGATACAGCTTTAAACCAAAGGAAACTGTGTAAGAAGATGTTACTGTGTTAAAGATGGATTCAGGAGAACCCAGCTTAGTAACAACTTCTCAATGGTTCCTGGGCAAATAGCTCTAGCCTTGTGTTGGGCAGTACAGGAGAAACATAAAGCCTTCAAAGAAAAGGCATCTGAATCTCTTTTTCGCTTCTTCCTGTGTGGAGAAGTGACAAGAAAATCTCCTCTTAGCTGTCCTCACTTACTGTTCTCCTGTAAGCTGCTTTCTCTGCAAATTTCATCATTGAAGGGAAAAAAAGATACTGTCAGAGGCACTGAAAAGGCAAATCCTCAACCAGTCAATGCAAGGCTGAGAACAGGGAACCTACACCTGACATTTTTAACAACTAATGAGAAGGAAACAGAAGAAGCCAAAAGAAATGAATCCATCAACATCTGTGAGCTGGTGCCAGAACAGGGAACCTACACCTGACATTTTTAACAACTAATGAGAAGGAAACAGAAGAAGCCAAAAGAAATGAACCCATCAACATCTGTGAGCTGGTGCCAGAACTGTGCATCTCTAACTTTATTGCGCCCCCCCCACTCTCTGTCTCTCTCTCTCTCTCTCACACACACACACGCACGCACACGCGCACACACACACACACACCTGCTGTTTCTGTTTGTAAGTGTATCAAAATCTTACAAAGGTGCAGTTTAAGTGATAGAGTTATGGATTAGCGATTCTACCTGTCTACTGTTTCCCATGTGCTTATAACATGCTGGTTAAAATAGTTATTTTAACCTGAATTAGACGGTTCGTTAAGATACGAAAATTTGATATTTTAATTAGATTTTAACATTTGTGAACTCTGGAAATTCTGTGGTTTGATACTGTCATACCTCATTGGGGTATCACACTGGAAATCAAGCCCCTCTATTCCTAGCATCATCACAAAATCTAAAGATTTTGTCAAAGTACACAAAAATCCCCATTTATCTGTCAGACCTGGGTAGCAAAAAAAAACATGAATCAGGTTTCTGTACTTAAACTACTATTTATTACGCATAAATAGATTCTAGCTATAGATGAATAGTTACAAACTGTTAACATATAACCCTGAGTTAAAGCGCCAACCAATTCCTAACATACACAGACACACACACACTTGGTATTATGGATGGAGGGATTAAAAACTGGGGAAACAGTTCAATGGTCCCTGTCTACAGGGTTTGCTGAGAAGATCCTTTTGCTTTCTGAGAACTTCTGTTTTTCATCCTCAGGTTTTCATCACTGTGCAGGGTGCACAGGCAATTGGTATACTAGCTGCAAAGTTTCTTAGTTACTGGTTAAAGCCAAAGGCAAAATAAACTGGCTTTCTTCAAATGTTGGAGATTTTACCTGAGAGACAAACTGTTTTCCCTTGCAACTGTCCAAAGGCTCCTGCCAGTGTTTTTCACACCTACCAGCTATTCAGTACTCAAAAGCCAGTCAGATAGTTGACAGGCTGATGGTCATTAAAATCCATAACTGATCACAACTCCACAAACCAATCAGCAACCTGTTGCCAGTATATCTCATTTTGTACTCGCCTCCTGGTGCAGCTTGTCTGCAAACAGCCTCCCCTCAATGCTTAAACAAAGTAGCTGTGTAAAGACTTGCAAAGAGTATCAGTAACTTGCTTTTCAAAATTACAGTAAATTCCTTCCATGATTTTTGGTTTTTAAAACAGTCCTTTTCCCATTTTAGTCCAGTCAAAAAATACAGAAAAATGAAAAGTTACAATTTTTACAATACCACGCCCTTTATGTGATGTTGTATTTTTTCAGATTATCTGGGAAGGAGAAACAGGTCGGAGGATTTGACCTAATGTGGAATGATGGTCCAGTTTATAGTGATGATGGAAGCTTCGATGGAGGCATCAACCTCATTTCTAACACTCGCTTGGGTAAGAAGCAAAATGGTATTCCTTCTTTCTCTTGTTGTTACTATTGTTTTCTTTCTGTATCTAAGGTATATAAATATCCCTTCTGTCATTGAACCTGGTGTAATACCATGCGCACTCACATGACACTAGCCTAAATTTGAGTTGAAAACATTTACAGTCGAGTCACATGCAGAGTCTTAAACCGGTGCTACTTTTACCTCGGACTGTGTAGCAAGTGTGAGGTAAAGAATAGAGAGCCACAGACAACGGTACAATTTCCAGTTATATTTCACACAAAAAAAGACAGGACATACTGCACTGGCAGATTTGCAGGCTCATGCCCCAAAAAACAGAAATCTTTAAGGTAGTTTAATGGCTTATGCCGAGTGATTTTTAAAAAATAGATTTTCCAACAATTTATAAGCTGCAGAGTTCTGCAAAGTTAATTCTCAATGCCGGGAAATTTTATAGAGGTTGAGTTATCTTGCCATGTGATAGAAATGGACTGGTAACAGACGATTGACAGCAATGAGTTTATTTACCAAAAAAAAATCAAATGGTACTAACAACATTGTGGGACAGGGAATTTATTACTGTGCTAAATCAAACAGCATTGTGGATGGAATGTATTGCTGTGTTAAATAGAACAATATTAACAGTGTTGAGGTGCAGGGAGATTATCACTGTACTAAACAGGAGAGTATTAAGAGCATTGAGAGACAGGGAGTCTATTACGATAATAAAACAGTACTAACAGTATTGAGGGATGGAGCTTATTACTGTTTTAAATAAAACAATATTAACAGTATTCAGTGGCAGGGGAGTTATTCTGTCATAAATAGAACAGTACTAACAGTATTAAGAGACAGGAAGTTTATTGCTGCATTAAATAAAACAGTATTAACAACATTGAGGGGCTGAGAGATGATTACTATATTAAATAAGTCAGTACTAAGTGTTCAGGTTTGTGATCTGTGTTGCCAGGAGAGAGACATCATCACCTTTTCTGACTCTGGCTTGCCCAGAAATCTACCTTCAACCATGTGATCAAATCCAACTAATATAACTGCTGTTCTTTATCTCTTCCCTTTCCTACAAGACACTGGCTCATAGCACATCCTCACCTGAGACTTCTACCCTGCCCCAGTGCATGTCATATCATCACCTGAGGTTGCTCTTCCAACTGGGACGTCATCCAACTCTTCTTTTCTGAAGAAGGGTCCCAACCTGAAATGTCAACTTTCTGCTCCTCTGATGCTGCCTGGCCTGCTGTGTTCCTCCAGCTCCACACTGTGTTATCCGTTCTTTAAATCATGATGTTTGCTTCTGGCTCACCCTTCCACAATTTAATTGTCTTCTCATTACCTTCTCCTGTTTCATTTTCTGTCCTTTCTCCCAAAGGTTTTCTTGCTGGGCACCTGGCTTATGTTCACTCCTTGTGTTTTATACATATTGTGTAAGGGCTTTGGGACCCTGCAGCAACCTTGTGATGGTGTCACAGAACTGCACATCACCGAGCATAAATAGCACAGCATAGGCAGAGTTAGAACAGACTACAATAGTTCACACTACACTAAAGTAGAACACTAAAGGGATTTAAAGCAGATAGTCATTGACACACAAAGATGACAGACTAATCCTTACCTAATGTAATTATGTCAGAGCCTGGCATATCTACGATTATGATGGATCACAGTAATCAGTTTTAATACATAAGAAACAGTTTTACTTTGAAGCCTAGGCCTAAAGACAATTCTTGGCTTTGCCTTCTCTGACCCAGTCTGACTTGAACCCAAACTCACATCAGACCACATGATAAAAGAATCTACATTTTGGCTGTGGATAATGTGACAATTTATTATGACGTTATCATTCAACATACAGGGATCAGTGGGTAGTGATAAGGTTTGAGGATCTTCCTGACTGAGATTGCCCCGGGGTACTGAGCAGACCATAAGGCCAAAGGCTGCTCTTACCACCATTGTGGCCCAGAAAACAGACTGGCAATTGGAGCTAGGCGTCCTGCTGTCCTGGCTCGCTATGCTGTGTTCACAAATGAACCATCAGGGAAGTTGATGCTTTCTGTCAGTTGTTCCTTTGCAGGCTGCTCCAATTTCTCCTCATATCAATGGTTCCAGCCAGTGTTTCATTTAGTTGTGTTTTATTTGCAGGTTGCATTAATGACAGGAAGAAGCAGTTATGGCAACTCTTTAAACCACTGATTACACAGAAGAAGTAGCAGTGCTGAGTAGCACTATAGAAACTGATGAAGAACGTAAATACTCTAATTGACCCTGGGCAGAGCAGCCTGTCTGCAATTGTTTGTATCTCTATTTATCAGCCTGTAGTCTGCCTGGTGTCCCACTGAAAGACGATATGGAGCACAATTTGCTATATCACTTTTCCCCAGAATGCTGAGTTCAGGTTCTTGTTGCTGCTGACTTCAAAGTATTGATGGAATGAAAACACACAGTTTGACCTTTCGTCCGTTTTGGAATGAATGATCACTTCAGCCAGAACGTAGTAGAAAACAAAATAAAATTGTGTGAGGAGGATAACATCTAAGTTTCAATGGTACGTTTCTGGAAAACAAAGCAAGGTTTCTGCCGGGAATGTGGAGCAGTCACTGTTTGTACAGAGAGTGCAGTATCACGTCCAAGACTGTCAGCCTGTAACACATGGCTAGAGATAGTCGGAACTGCAGATGCTGGATGAACACAGCAGGCCAAGCAGCATCATAGGAGCAGGAAGGCTGACGTTTCGGGCCTAGACCCTTTATCTAGGCCTGCTATGTTCATCCAGCTCTGTACCTTGTTGTCTCTGTAACACATGGCTGGCTGCTGCATCTCAGACAAGACCTGGTTGTCTGGTATTAATAATAACAGTGTCAGCTTGAAATGTACGGCCTTTCCAACTTGTTCACTGACTATTTCAAAAAGTTCTTCCGACTGGGTGCCCACTTCAATTGCTGTTTCAGGCAGTCGCTGCATTTTAATATGGGAGTTGAGTGAAGCAACATGAGTCTGATCCTAAATACCATTTTCAGACAGAATTGGTCAGAGCTGCACATTGCCCAAGACAGCCAGCGCCACAAGCAGCAGAACCAGAGAGGAGAGACATGCCAAAGCCAAATGTTGCATCTTGTTAATGGACCCACTGGGCCTCCAAAGGGCACCACTTTAAGTTGGTCAGGTTTTAGCACAATACCTTTTGCCTCCAACTGCCACGTCTCATAAGTCTTTTCTCATATGTAAATAGTTTTGAGAAAAAGCAATTATAAAAACACCAATGTGGAGTCTGTCATCTCTATACCCCACCCACCAGATCCCAGAACTTGCATGACTGCTGACTCCAGAGCGATCCTAGTGGATTGTCAACCTAAATTCATCAAACATGTTCACTGTATGGTATCTGTAATCCTCATTAAAATAGGAACTGATCTATTTCCAAGAACTCATAGTCATAGTAAGGTGTAACAACGATGACTTGAAGTAGAGATATTTCTTGAAGGGTTCTATCTGTTGGGAGACTTATGTTTTGAACATCTGATGGATTTATTATAGTTTACTACTGATGCGATTGCTAGGCATTTGCCAAAGCGTTTTTGGCACTGGCCTCTGTTTCTACCTTCGTAAAAGAAAAATGCTCAGTAGCATACCTTTCTACTCCTATGATGCTGCTTGGCCTGCTGTGTTCATCCAGCCCTGCACCTTGTTGTCAGTCAATACACTGCTTGGTATGACTCACTGTCCCTCCATGCAGTGGTTCATGTGACTCACTGTTAATAAGAACACTGCTTGGAGTGACACACTTAATCAATACAGTGCTGAGTGTGACACACTGTCAGTCAGGTCTGACACACAGTCTTTTTTTTTTAAGCAGTCCTTTGGGATGTAGGATGACTTGCATCTACTCTAAATCCATGGGTTCAGTGATAACTGGTAAGTCCAATGCATGACATGTAGGCTCTGCCACATGTGGGACAGTGTTCATGACTTCACCTCTGCACATTCTCAACCATGTGCCTTGATATGTTGAGTCCTCTCAAATGAAACTTCTCTATTTTCGTCAATCATAAGCCAGGGACTTGTATGAGTTCCAAAGAAGATTCATTGTGAATTTTAAATGTTTGACTTTGTTTCTTTCTTCTAGATGCTGCCAGAATTGTTGAATTTCTCCAGTATTTTCTGGTTTTAGTTCATATTTTTGAGCCACAGCTAAAGAGATTCTTGATGACAAGGGAGTCAAGGGTTGTCAGTGGTAGCTGAGTATATGGAATTAGGTCTCAATCAGATCAGCCATGATTTTGTGAAGTGGCAGATCAAGTGGCCTACTGTTCCTAATTTATATGTGTGTATGTATGTTCCAGCATCTGCATTATTTTGCTTTTGTCTCTTGAGTTAGTAGAGATGTTTAATCTGCTCAGAAATGTTTTTTGTCCCTAAATTGTTTTGCTGGGAGTCTCCAGCTGCAACCAAGTTGAGTTGCACCGTTACTTTAGGAGTCCAGTCAGCTGTATGAATGACATGTCCCGTCTAGTTATTTAGCCTCTTGATGCTGGAAACCTTGGTTTGGGCGAGGACTACCTTTCTTGCCACTGGATTTGCTGGATCCTGGTGGTAATTCTCAGTGCTTTGAGGTGCCTACTATAAGTTGTCCAAATCTAAATCTTGAGGCTTGAGATCTTGGTCCTCAAATACACTTTGTTTCAGTCAACCAAAGACAGAGCTGACACAGAGGGCATTGTTGAATTTGTCACCTGTGTCTGCCTTTGTTAACAGTAGGCTCCCAAGGTATAGAAAATAGTTCACATTTTTCAGGACTTCACAGCTGATGAACAATGACCTGGAGCTCAGACAGTGAGTGAGTACACACATAAGCGATAGCCGCATCCTGGAGCTCAGTGCCTGTGGCAGCATGGCAGATCAGTCAAAAGATGCTGGATTAAGGCTCGGTGGAGGAGTTGGTTAAACTTCCAGCAGATTTTAAGTTGATGTATAGATGCGTAAGAAATAGAATTTGGAGTAGACCATTTACCTGCTACATCAGTTAATATGATCATAGCCTTAACTCCATTTTCCTGTCTGTTCAAAAATCTAACTAACCCAGTCTTGAATATATTCAATGACACAACCTCTACTGCTCTCTGGTGAAAAGAATTCAAACTCAAATGACCATCTGTGAAAAGAAAAGCCTCTTCAATTCTGCCTTAAATGGGGGGCCGTTTATTTTTAAACTATTCCATCTAGTTCTAGACTGTCCCATAAGAGGGATTATTCTCTTAACATATAAGATTCTGAGGGCTTGATAGAATATATGTTTCAATAAGATCTCCTTCATTCTTCCATACTCTAATATGAGCTGAGTGAACCTTCTCTGACCTGTTTCGCAGCAATGATATCCTTCCTTAAGTAGATCAGAATAATAATAGATGCAGTCTCACCAATGCCTTATAGTTGGAACAATTCTTTCCAACTTTCACATTGTATTCCCCTTACAATAAAGGCCAACACCTCATTTGCTTTTGTAAATATTTGTTGTACCTGCATGTTGATTTATTGTGATTGTGTAAGGAGAACCACAACCTTTGTAATGTAGCATCTTTATCCATTTAAGTAATATTGTGCTTTCCAATTCTTCCTGGCAAAGAGTCATATCTGATTTGAAATAGTAACTTTGTTTCTCTGTTCACAGATATTGCCGAAGCCACTGATTTTCTCTAGAATGTTGTTTTTATTTTGGACAACGTCACAGTTTCTCACATTATAGTCTGTCTACTCATTGCAAACTCTTTGTATTGAAACAACAGTAGGCCACTTGGCTCTTTGAGCCCTCTCCACCCATTCAATAAGCTTGTGGTTGATCTGATTTTAACCTCAACTCTACATTCCTGCAAATACCCGATAATCTTTCATCCCCTTGGTCATCAAGAATCTATTTCCCTCTGCCTTAAAAATATTTAAAGATTCTGCATCCACTACTTTTTGAGGAAGGGAATTCCAAAGATTCTCAATCCTCTGAGAGAGAAAAAGATATTTCCTCATCTCAGTTTTAAGGGTGACCCCTAGTTCCAGATTCTCCCAAGAGAGGAACCATCTTTCCATATCCAGCCATTAAGTCCCCTCGGTATTTTGTGTTTCAGTTAAGTTATCTTTGACTGTTCTAAACTCTAGAGGACACAGGCCTAACTAGTTAGCCTTTCCTCAAGGCAATTCACTCATTTCAGGTATTAGTCTAGTAAACTTTCTCTGAACTGTTTCCAACGCAATAATATCCATCTGTAAATATGGTGACCAGTACTGTACGCAGTACTCTAGATGCAGTCCCACCACTGCTCTGTATGAATGAAGCATAACCTCCCTACTCTTGCATTCAATTCTTCTTGCAATAAAACACAATGTTCTATTAGCTTTCCTGATTACTTGCTGTACTATAACCTGTGATTCATGCACTAGGACACCCAGATCTCTGCATGTCAGAGCTCTTCAACCTCTCTCCATTTAGATAATATGCTTTTTTTTTAAGTGTTCCTGCCAAAATTAGACAATTTTACATTTTCCTACATTATGCTCCATTTGCCAGATCTATAATCGCTCATTTAACCTATCCATATCCCTTTGTAGGCTTCTTATGTCTTCTTTACAACTTACTTTCCTGCCCATCTTGGTGTCATCAGCCAATTTCACTACTGTACCTTCAGTTGCTTCATCCAAATCATTGATGTAAGTTGTCAACAGTTGAGGCCCTAACACGGACTTCTGTGGGACACCACTTGTAACATCTTGCCAGCTTGAAAAAGACGCATTTACTCCTCTGCTTCCTGGTAGCCAAACAATCTTCTGTCCAAATCAATATGTAACCCCATACACCATGAGATTTTAATTTAAGCAATAACCTTTGATATGGCACTTTATCAATGCGTTCTGGATATCTAAATACAGTACATCCACTGGTCCCATTTATCAACAGCACAAGTTACTTCTTCTATAATATTAATTAACCATAATTTTCCCTTTGACAAAACCATGTTGGCTCTGTCTGATTATGTTGACTTATCCAAGAGCCTATTTTAAAATCTTTAATGATGGCTTGCAACATTTTCCTACATTTCCATAACATTATCCTTGTCACTGCCTTGCTTTTCTATCTATCTCTGTAACATCAGATTTGGTTCTTTCATTCAATTCAACATGGATCGTAAATAGTTGAGGCCCCAGCATTGATCCCTGTGATATTCCACCTGTTACAGTTTGAAATCCAGAAAATGACCAAGCTATCGTGACTCCCGGTTTCCTGTTAGTTAGCCAGTCCTCTATCCATGCTAATGTATCATTCATAATACCATATACTCTTGTGTGATTACTTTTATGCCTTTTGGAAATCCAATTACTCTACATCTAATGGTTTTCCTTTATCCACCTTGCCTGTTACATCTTCAAATAACTCATACATTTGTCAAACACAGTTTCTCTTTCACAAAACCATGTTGACTCTGCCTTATTGCATTATGGTTTCTGAAATTCCTGGTACTACCTCCTTAATAATGGATT